TTAATTCTATAAAACGTTTATTTAACAGTATTTAATCTGTTAAATAGTAATATGATTTATTAATAATGTTTTGAAATTAAACAATGTAATAATTAAAACATGCTTTAACACGTTTATTTTATTTCTGACAAAATTGAATGTATCTGTGATTTATAAGCTTGATTTGTCCAACTTTTATGTAATTTGTGACATAATCAGTGTCACGAAAAATAAGAAAGAAAGAAAAAATACGAGACGTTTGTGTATTATCACGTGTATCTTCTTGTTGTCATGAAGATCCGTAAATAAAGTGTTATTGTCTTAGAAAGTTCATATGTATTTTGTGAAGATTATTTTCGGTGAGTATTTATATATCATTATTACAACTAATTAAATGTGACGATGATCGATCATGCATGTATAGTTCCTTTTTAGAAGATACTTGGATCAACTACACGCGTGCATTTATGTACACGATGTTATTGTATATCTCCATAAAATTTACAACATCCATAGTATTTACAGCTTTTTGTATCAAATTTGTTGTCATTAAAGAAAACGGACATTAACATATGTATGTACGGTAATGTTAAAAAAAATTATAGACTCATGATTAGTTGACATTCTCATTTCAAAAACTCAAAAATGTATTTTATATACTAATGCTGAAGTCTGCATGTGAAAAATGCCATATAATTCATCTGATATAGTTTAGGTAAGAATGAAATATTCCGTATATACATATACATACATATATATATATATATATATAATATTTATGTCCTCTGTTACATATTTTAATGATCTAAATGTCTATTACGCTTCTTTTTTACCATTTATATTAAATCAAATTACCAGTATATTTTAACGCTTCATTTTAAATTAGACTCAACTGTACCAAGACTACGATAAAAAAGGATAAAATAAGATTTGGGCCACTATCGTGCAACCTATTATGACAACTTTTTTCGACGATGATAAAGACGACTTCCTTGAATTGGGCAATTATTTAAAAAGCTGGATGCGAATCTTATCTGTTGTAAATTGTCATTTACTTTAGATACTTAACCGTTGAATAGAAATGATGCAATCTCTATATCGCAATTAAGTATTAGAATTAAAGTATTATCATTTATCATTAACATATGAAGTGTAATTCATTTTTTTTCGAAATACATGCGCACATGAAGGAGATTATATACTTTCTTCTCCGTCATCGGTTATGAATTTGTTTCGTCTAAAAGACAAAAAAGAAAACAGAACAAAAGGAAGAAAAGAAAGCATACAACTATAGAATAGTCAGGGAGGAAGAGAATATAATTACACGTGCGTGTGCTTCGTTATATGTGCATATATAATGATCGTGACCGTGTGAAAAGCAACTTTATAAATACGGAAACGTACTGTTTGACGTTGAAAGTACTTGTACATTTTAAGTGTGCGCATTATACATGACAGATGCGTGATACTCACGTGTTTCGATTTAGTATATATGTCGTAATGGCAGAAATAGAATTTAACTTTAAGATAGAAGATAACTTTAACTTTTCATATATTTTGCATTATTCGTGATTGTGATAGTTATAGTAAAAAGATTTATTCATAGGAAAACATGTTTTTTTTTCTCTCTTTTTTTTTTGACTACGTACTATTTTCATTTTAGAAACAATCATAGCAAATTTTTTTCTCGTTTGATTGTTGCAAACTTCTTTTTCGAATGTACAATGTATATTGATAATACGTTGATCGAACGTGAACATGTGAGTAGAGTATTTTTTTTTTTTCTGGATCTATACTAATCCTGTTACGATCTTCAGATATTTACATTTTGATCTGTTGTTTCAAGAACCAAAAAGATTTTTAATATTTTAAGAAAAATTTAACAAGAATGATAATATTGGCAACAATATTAATAATAATATGAATATAAAAATATTAACAATATGAAGTTGAAAATGACCCGAAAGACGTAGCAGAGTTAAGTATATAATAACAAAATATAAATTAACTAATAAATGCCACATCAAATGTAAGTTAGTTCCAATATCTATATATTTCATGATTGTCTTTCTTTAAATTTCTTACCAATACCTTTTTTCTTTTCATTTTCTCATAATTTTATTTTGCAGCAATACAAGGCAACACGCAAACTTTTTACGCTTAAGAACTCTAGTCGAATTAATCTAAGACGCGTGATATCGAAATAAATACTTTAATCTTTGCAGAATGCAAATGTGGAATATCGTTTATGCGTAACGAGTATCAAAACGTAAACATAATTTTTACATATATTATATAATATATGTATACGACACGTATATATATTACAACACTGATAGATGTAAGCTGGAAACGTTTTCACTAAGTGTCTCTTTTATTTTTTCTTTTGTTGCAGAGAAATGTGTTCCATGGAAGAAGACAGGGACAAAATGCGATTTTGAAGAAGACGAACTTCTCTCGTACCGCAGAATATATTGTACGCGATCTGAAACGCATTCTAAATATATAGTTTCCATCCTGATCTATTTTAAAAGCGAGAAAGGAATAGTATACATTTCTTGACTTTTTTCCTTAATATTTTTTTTCTCTATTTCAAAAACACTGAATATCAGTTGCAATATAAAAGTGTATTTTAATATTCAAAAACATTTTTCCAAGCTTTTTCTATTTGTTCTAAACTTTGAATTCTATATTTATTTTACTAAGATATTTTTCAATTAAAAATGTAATAGCAATGTATTTTATTAATTTACATTTTAGTTCATAAACATAACAGTTTCAGATTGACGTACAAATTATCTGTCATAGTCTGCTTTAACTACAAAACCTGCCTATGATGCAGACTATGAGATATCTGCATAATACTTAATGAATTTTTGATTAAGATTATTTAAAAAAAAGCTGTGATTAATTTAAGTCTTACGTATTTTAGAATACATAAGGCTTTGTATGTAACATTTGATAATAATCTGTGAGACATGTACAATCCAGTATTGAAAAGATTATATTAATGTAAAATTGAGGAGTATGTTATATATCTATCGAGTATCAAAGATTATGCCAAATGAATTTGTTAAGAGTATGAACAAACTGTACCTGATATTAATATTTTATATTTTCTCTTTATAATTTATGCAGTATATAAAAATATTTTATACATATGAAATAAAATAAAATAATTAATTAGTATACGAGAAATATAATAATAATAAAGCGTTTTCACAAACGCTGTTATCTATGATCTTTTGAATTATTTTCATTTCATTGCATCATAAATCACTATATTAAAAAAATTTTTTTTTTTTAATATTTTAACTTTTTCTCAAAAAAACAATATTAAATATTTTCGAACGTGTTCTACTTCACTCCATGTTTATATGATCATTATATGTAATCAAAGATATAACTAATTCGAGAAAACTTTTGAAACTCAGTTAAACCAAAATGAAGCATTAATGTTGAAAGAAAAGTATGTTTGGGATAAAAATTGATATTTATGACATTGATTGACATCTTTTTTCTCAACAGCCGTGGAATATCCCGATGACGATATTGTAAGCTATATAGCTAATCTTGTCGTTGGACCGAACAAAAAGTGCTAAAACTTATTTTGCTTTTTTACAGAGGTGCAGTATTAATAATGGGTGCTGTCACTTTGAATGTATGGGCGAGTGCTCTTTTGTACGAACCGGTGGAAAGGCACATGGTACCAGCATCGTCGTCGAGCAAATCGAACGATGTCGACTTGGAGGCCGCCTCGGTCACAGTAACTAGTCCCGAAGATGAGAAGCAATCGAATCACGTTGTTTCTTCTTCGGACATAAATGAAAAAACTGCGCCAATGGTACCAAAGAGCGCGTCCAGCGTCGCGTTAGAATATTACAAGAATACGCCGGTTCAAGGTCGATCGAGAAAAATTAGCATGCCCACGGGACGGGAGATAACAGGACAGATGCACAGCACGCCGGCACTGCATGCTGTCCCGGAACGCGGCGGAGATTCTGGCAGGCTGTCAAAACGTCAGAAATCACCCTTACAGTCACCGAGCATGTCATCTTTCAATTATATCAGCACGCCGTATCATGGGAGTACACTTTCCGCTCTACATCCGGAGAGGGCGTCCACGTTGACCCTGAACGCGATATCAAGCACGTTTGCGAGAAAGGGAGCCGAAGAAACGAACAAGAACGAAGGGAAAGAGAAGAGTAACAAATTCTTCGATTTTAGTTTATTGAAAGATCCTATTTATTTGGTAATCTTGATCTCAAATTCAACGAATGCTGTCAGTTACACGAATTTCGTCATCTTACTACCGGCGTACGCGATCTCGTTGGGTTTCGACAAAAACATGTCTTCCCTCCTTCTATCGACCGTGTCTGTGTTAGATTTGATAGGACGTATCGGAGGCTCAGCACTCTCCGATGTTTCAATCATGCCCAAGCATTGGTATTTTGTTGGCGGTTTGTTTATTTCTGGAATCTCGTTGGCTCTTCTTCCCATAGTAACAACTTACACCATGCTGTCGGTTTACTGCGGTGTTTTTGGTTTAGCTTCTGGTATTTACGTCGGTATCACCGCGGTTATAATGGCCGATATGTTAGGGACTGAGAAGCTAACTTCCTCCTATGGTATCTCGTTGTTCGTAAATGGGATCATACAGTTGATTGGGCCGCCAATTTGCGGTATTGTATATGAACAAATCGGCAGTTACGGACCAATCTTCAGCATTTTAGGAATTATTTTAGTCGTAGGTGCATCGTTATGGGGTTTCGTTCCACTTATTAGGAGACGACAAGAAATCGCGGAAAAAGCGAATCCAATTGAAAAATTATAGTCTCTCCATATATTAGCCGCAATTGTTTCATGGACAAGAGCTTAATTATATGCCCATTGTAGAATTTCATCTAACATGTATCGCGATAACACATACACACATACATGATAACGAAATACAAAGTTTATAAAGTACTGTGATTTTAGAATGAATGTTATGTATGTATATACCACTGGCACTGTGATGAAGTATATATACACATCCACACACACATTCTTAAGTGGATCGATAAGAAATTTCAAAAGATATATTTTTTAAAAAGACAAAGATCCTCTTTTCTCGTAAATTGGAAGTATCTTGCCTTAAACTTGGAAAAAAGACTATTCGAAAGTAAGTTCTTGTTGGTACTAATGTAAAATATATGAGTATATTTAAGTACTTAGTTTAAAAACATTCTAATTGCTGGTGCTATCGAAATTACCTAAAACAAAACAAAAAAAAATGAAAGATGCAATAACATAATTTAGTATATATTTTTATTGTATGTATAAAATATTAAAAACAAAGGTTGAGTACTTGTACACTTCTCTTAAGGAAACGATAAATATACAGCAATTCCTACTATATACACGTAAATATTAAATATAGAATCAGTCAATTCCGTTATTGATTCAATTTATTTACAACTCACCGAAAAATATGCCTTAAAATTAGAATATAAGCACTTTGTAATTAACAAATTACGTTTATATCATATAGTATGTAAAATAAATAATAATATAAAAGAAGCTATCTTACATAAATTGTTCATGCTACTAGGGTCAATAAACAAATTACAAAATTTTCGTTCTTATATTTTGTATCTATTTTATTGAAAGGGATGCACGATAATATTAAATAAATAATTATTGTAATTAATGTAAAAACTAAAACATGTCTATTTCAATACATGTTTATAATATACAACAAAAGCGTAATTTACTTTTTATCTTTTTCTTTAGGCGTGCTTTCTTTGCTTTCTTCAGGTGCGGCAAGACGGAAATTTGGGAATTGTTCCCATGGTGCGGCCAATTCAAATTTACGAAACTCTTGTGTTAACTCTAATGGTTCACATACGACTCTTTTGTATTCGTCATCGTAGCGTACCTACATTTAAAGAATAATTTTTATATTGTACATCATGAATTAAAGATATTTGTGAAACAAAGATATTGTGAAATGAAAAAGAATTATGTAATGATATTACCTCAACAAAACCACTAAGAGGAAAATCTTTTCTTAATGGATGTCCTTCAAAACCATAATCTGTAAGAATTCTTCGAAGATCTGAATTACCTCGAAACAGTATACCAAACATATCCCACACTTCTCGTTCGTACCAATTTGCAGCATCATGAATACTTTCTATTGATTGTAAAGGTGTCAATTCATCTGTATATGTTTTTACTCTAATACGTGAGTTAAAAGCAAAAGAAAGAAGATTGTAGACAACCTAAAAACCAGAACACTGAGTAACAAAATATGTATTAAACAAAATTGATTAAAATATTGTGTAAAAACATTTATTGTATTGAAATAATAATTTTCAAGAAATTACTCAGAATTTACCTCAAATCTATATTTTCTAGAAGGAACATCCACTGCAGTCAGATCTGATAATGAAATATACTGAGTATTCTGATGATATTTCAAGAAATTTATCGTTGGTACAACTCCATCTGGACAAATTAATATTTCAAGTTCATCGCCAGCATTTATTTGAACTTTCTGCACATACTTTGGTAGACATTTACTGATGTATACGCCCAAATCCTTTATGGTTTGTATATTTGTTGTTATTCTGCGTATAGTCGCTGTTTAACAAAAGCATGACATATAAATGTTAGGAAAAGAATTATGAAAAATAGAAAGCAGGTTATGAAACATATATTATAAAAATTCCTATATTTATATTTAAGTTAAATTATTAAACATATTGTAAATTTTTTACGTACGTTGTGTTTCTGGTTTTTCAGCTTCTGTAGTATTTGTTCTTATCGATGGAAGAAATTTTGGATAACCTATCAATTTAGTTTATAATTTATTACATAATATAAAACATATAAAATCAATGAATTAACAATGAAATTTATTTACATTTTAATGTTGTGACTGGTAGATTTCGTGACAGCTTCCAACAATTTTTCAGTAACGATGACATTTTAATGAAAAATTTCAGTTCCTTTCAGGAGTAAGTCTGTTCTACAACCAACAGACCAACATACACCAACATATCATTACATAGATCGCGAGGTAGCGATACATTATTCTAATCGTACATAGTATATAAAAATTATTAATAGTATCAGGAATTATATCTTTTTAATTTAAAGAAGTGACAATAACAGAAATTGAAAATATATTAAACACAATATGATTTGTAAACTGTTTTATTTAAATTTGTATTGGTCTTTAAAATAAAATAACGGAAGTCTATTGATTTTATTAATTCTTTATGTTATTACATATATAAGGTAGTACAAAGAATATTTTACATCTTATTTGTTATTCCTAATACAATATCGCACGAGGTTACAATGAAAAAGATATATAATGTGTATTAGTTTTGTACCATCATCAACTACACAGAATATTTTTTGAAGCACATTGTTTCTCAATTTTTTGCATATCTACAAGTATAGTTGCTATAGCATGTCTCAGTTGGTGAAATTTTGATAAAGATAATTCAAATATTTGATGTTTTCCATTATTAAATATCCATTCCATTATAATATGTGGTTCCAAGACTCTGTTCAATATGCTAAAAACATTTACAACACTTTTGTATTATACGTATGAAATGTCATAAAATTCTTAATTTATTACAAATATATAATACCTAGATGAAATAGTAATATCAATACGCCACTTGCAACCTATTAGATGTGGATAAAATTTTGTTTTTTGTATTAAACCTGATATTAATTCTGGTCGCTTCTGACCATATACAACTATAGATAAATCATCAATACATTCTGATGGTACTCTGTAAAAATAATATTACAATTGCTACAACAAAATTAAAAATAATGAAATAATGCATAATATTTATAAAACACATACTTTAATTCCTCTAATGTTTGTTTAAATTCTGCAGGTTTTATATTTTGTGATAATGTGCCCAAATGTATCTTCAATATTGTAAAAATGACTGAATAGTATTCATCCACAATTTCATCTGGTATATTGTATTTTTGACTTATTCTATCTAATATGCCTTCTTCTATGTATTCTTGATTTATTGTTTTTACAGCAACTGTAAGTAATAAATTGCAATTATTTCTTTCAAAATCTAAATATATTAGTGATAATATACAACATTAAAATATTTATAATGCATAATATTGAAAATAAAACTTACTTTGTATTAAAGGACGAACAAACACTTTTTTTAACTCTGAAAGAATTTTTGTTTTACTTCCTAAAGCATATAAAAGTTGAGTTTGAAAAGTTGTCATTTTTATTCTAATTCTATTTACACGATTTCTATAAACATAATATTGTGAATAAAGTATTATTATTTTGTCAAATTTGCTATTAAATTTAACGATAATTTATTTCATATTATTAATGCGATTTAATAGATCATGAATACAGTGTATGCACAAAACTATGTTTCATCAATGTTATACAGCAACATTATTTGATTAGAGACAGATAATAAAAAGATGAAAAAGGGGGCGAAAATACAACTGCAAAAGTTTGCAAATTAGTCTCCTCAATTAATTTTTTTCGTCAATAAAATTTTAATACTGAAACTAGCGATGGGATGATAGAATTGAAATCAATTGCTGTCCTTATCGCACATTAGTGCGCTCCTTGTCATGCAACGTAAGTCTGTCCTTGTCACAAATAAGACAGATATTGTCATCTATTGAAGATTATCAAAACTATCTAGTGAGAGGAACATTGCGCTGCCATCTACCGGATTTTTCATTTTTGATCTTTTAGTTCAAGTCTGAAGTGAAAGATAGTTACATGGCAGTACCATCGTAGACAAAGATCACGATGATGTCAAACAAGAACAGACTTATACTGCGTGTGAAGAAAGTGATTGCACACGATACTGATTCATGAGCATTCCAATAGTAATTAATTCTTGGTATTTCAATTATTCATAAGAATGTCAAGTTCTGATGTTGCTCTCAGATTGACGTAAGAAGATAAATAAAATTCTTGCTAGCAAAATTGAAATTAGTTTAATTATTAGTTAAATAATCTACAAATAACCTATAAAGTTCAATTTGTACTGAAGATTTGAAAATAAATATGGCGAATGAATGACGCAACAACTAAAATTTCAAAGGTATTACAATAAAATAGTATATTAATTCGCATATTTTTTCATGTGAAAACAGTTGAATCACATAGGCGATGATTTGTATTTTGTATGAATATTTTCGCTTTCAATACCTTCGCCTGTTTAACTTTTCAAATTTACAAGATATCTGGCAATATAGATTTGCGCAGACGTGCAACGATCCGCGTTAACAGTCGGAATTATCCGAAAGCAGTCGAACGTTTGGAAACGCGCGTGATTATGCTGTCAGTTTCTTAGTCAATGGTTTGATTTGCGTATAGGATATGTTATTATAGGATAAAAATATTGATTTTATAGATGTTGATAATTAATTTTTACGATTATGATACTTTACAATTATTATCAGAAAATTGTTATTTACATATATTGAAAGAAAGAAAGTATGATATAAGTTTTTAATTTTATTTATATTATGTGCAAAAAATAGAAGATATGTTATTAAATTTCATAATTATAAATTCTATTTTATATAAAGTATAGTAATATAAAATGTTTGGTTACTTTCATATAACAGACCGTGTGGCCTAATGGATAAGGCGTCGGACTTCGGATCCGAAGATTGCAGGTTCGAGTCCTGTCACGGTCGAGAAAAGTAAAATTTTTTCTTTTCGATCAATATTTTTTATAATTATACATAATATCTTATATTTGATGATTTCTTTATATATATATATTTTATATATATATATATATCTTTATTTATATATATACGTATACACATACTAACTTTACACTTAAAGCGCCAGATTCACTTTAAGACGTAGTATTACTGTGTACTGAGTAAAATGCCAGATCTGCCTAAATACGTTCATATACATTTGTATAGAAAGAAATATATATTTCTAAAACTGTACATGAAGGTTATTTTATTTTATTTGCATATTTCTATAAAATTCACATTTTAGATAATT